CAAGAACATCAGAAGCAATAATAGTGCGTTTACTGAAAAATACCACGATTAATTTTTCGCTGGTGGTGGTAACTTTTATCACACTTTAATGTTGATGGCTCCTAAAAGAGCTGCTTTGTTTTGTTATAATGAACAAAGTCTGAATCCACCCAAGGTCTTTAAAAAACTGATAGTCCAGAACAATATCAATTGTCATCATCCTCAAAACCGCGATATTGTCCATTCCCATCTGGAAAATGCTTTGTTATCTTGCTGTATGCACAACAGGGTAGAGATACGGGCTTCTAAGGTAATGCCAGTTCTGACAAAGGGCTAACGCTCGAAACGTCAGCTTTTTTACCCTTTACGGTGGCTAATTTACGTTTTCAACTTAGTTGTTAACACTAATTACCTGTTATACTCTTCCACCGACGCAGCATCACAGTTCTTTAGAAACTTACCCCCTTTATTAATGCCAGTGTAGCCTTGTAAACTGCCGATATGCCACTGATCTCAGAAACCTTACAGACCAAAAAGTTAACAGATATATGCAGGAATCCAAGATTTTTAATAATAATGATAATAATGATAATAATAATAATATTATTATTATTATTATTATTATTATTACCACTGAATATTTGTATATCAGTTTCAAGAATATAAAAACACGTTCCAATTTGTTAATTTAGCCCAGGCGAAAGCTTTTGTTAGCTTTCGCGTTAAAGATTGTCGCAGTGAAAAATTCTAAAGTTTGCCTTACCAGACATGCCAGTACATTAAAAGCCTGTCTGTTTACATAAAGTTAAACAGACTTTCCTTCCGTTCTTCGTCCTTGAATAAATGTTGTTCTGTAAGACTTTCCAGATTTAGTCTTAAGACTTCAACGAGGCAACCTCCAAGACGTGCCTGTTCATGCAAACATCTTGAAAGCCAGGATAAAGTGCAATGCATCTCTTTCGTTCGCCAAACTGCTCAATAACCTCCCCACAAAGGTCGATTTCCTGGCAGCATTAGTATTCTTCTGCTTAAGTCGTGAACTCGATCGAACAGTTGGAACAGACCATAGTTAGTAGAGGGGACTGGTTGGGAAACCCGGCGAACTTCAAAGGAGGAACTCTTTGTTCTGATTTTCGAGTGATCACGTGTTCACGACCGTGCACACACACAAAGCAAGATGGCGTATTGAGTAGCGTTATTCCGTTTGTAGAACAAAATTGTTTGATATTCGGGCGAAAGAAGAATTCGTTGAAATCAGATACTAGAAATATAGCATCCTGGGGAAATTATGCCCGGCGACAACTGCGCTGTGTTTGGCTGTGGGACCAGCAGAAGGACGAAAGGCATTGGAATTTGGAAGTTGCCTGCACCAAAGGACGAGGCTCACAAGAAATGGAGACAAGAGTGGCTGAACGAAATTACAAAGACAAGAGAAAGCGATGCTCCATTTAAAGTCTTAGTAGCGAAGGACAGGATCTTTACCTGCGAAAAACACTTCGAACCTGAGGACGTTGAAATATGTAAGTAGCTCGAACTTGTACGAGCGAGTGTAGACTGTCACGGTGTCGATTTGTGTTTAGATATCAGTCCTGTATATTCTGTGTAGTCGTGTTAGTGGTGCAATTCAGGCGATTTTTACTAGACATTGACTGTATATGGGGTTTTCCATCCATTGTATCGCCGTTAAAACTTGGCGTGTAATTTTTTTATTTTGTTTATAGTTCATTCAGAGAAAATGACTAAGAAGAAGGCTCGGTTTGGTGCTCTTCCCAAGTTGAACATGCCGAAAAAAACTCACGAGACTCCAAAACCCGAGCAAAGACCTGAGCGAACCATTGTCCGGGATCTGGTCAAGAAGCCGCAAGTTCATTACAAGACTTTCACGGATTTTTGTCAGCGCTTGACTAAGCTAAAGAGCCTTCAAAACTGGAACATTGAAACATTTTCTGACAGAGCTGTCTTAAAACAGGTAGAGATTCCATATGTGCTTCCGAAGTTTGAAATCGTTGTGGATGATAGTCTAGCATTTACAGTAAGAGTTTATGGCTGTTATTTTCCGGAGGATCATCCTGTGTACCTTGATTATCGGCGTACAGTCAGGAATATATCCATACATAGTCTTGCTGAACTGTTGGGGGAGAACTACAGTTTGTGTTGTGGAGTTGACACACTAGAGATGACAAGCACACTGTTTCATCATGTTGTTCCCATGAGTGAGGGGTTAGAGGAAGACGAACAGTTTCCACACAAAGGTTACTGGAGAGTACAGGACTGTTTGATCATATGTGGAAAACTTGAAAAGGTGTGCAGTGCATGCGTGGAGTACCAAAAGTGTTCTGAAAAAGCGAAGAAGGCAAAAGACAAGCATCAGTTAACACCCGCTCATGTCAATGCTCCTATATCAAAGACTGATCCAGAGAGGATCAAACTGACTCTGCGACAGCAAAGGCTGCGATGTTATGAACTTGAAAGAGAGCTCAATGAAATGCGCAATGAATTACAGAAATCAAGCATTGAAGTAGACCATGAACTGAGCAATGACTTCGTTAAACTATTTGATTCAGTGGACAATGAAATAACTCCCTTTATGAATCTTTTCTGGCAACAGCAAAAGAAATTGTTTTCAAGTAGCTGCACTGGTGTATGTTATCACCCAATGGTGATTCGCTTCTGCTTGTCCCTTGCAGTAAAGTCACCTTCCTGCTATGAGGAACTTCGAAAAAGCAAGGTTTTGGTTCTTCCAAGTCAGCGACGTTTGAAGGACTACCGAAACGCTATAAAGCCACAACGGGGCTTTCAAGAGGAAGTGATTGAGCAACTCAGGACTGAGACTGACTGCTATTTTGATGTACAACGATATGTTGTTCTCCTGTTTGACGAAATGAAAGTTATGGCAAACCTTGTACTTGACAAGACAACTGGTGAACTGATTGGCTTTACCGATCTTGGAGACCCAAACTTGAACTTTGGAGTTCGTGAGAAGGTTGATGATGTTGCTACGCATGCCCTTGCTTTCCTTGTACGCGGAATTTGTACAGAGCTTAAATTTGGCTTGGCTCACTTTGCCACTACAGGTGCTACTGCTGCTCAGTTGTTGCCATTGTTTTGGGAAGCTGTCTGTATCCTTGAGACCTCTTGCAACTTGTGGGTTATTGCTGCCACATCTGATGGTGCTTCACCCAACAGGAGGTTTTATCGGCTTCACAAGTCACTTGATGGGCAATCAGATAAGGATGTTTGTTATCGTACAACAAATTTGTTTGCACCCCATCGTTATATATATTTCTTCTCGGATGCCCCACACCTGGTCAAGACAACAAGGAACTGTCTGATGCATTCAGGCTCTGGAAAGTCCACAAGATACATGTGGAACAATGGTCTCTCTCTATTGTGGCAGCACATTACACAAATTTTCTATCAAGATTTGGACAATGGTTTGAAACTGTTGCCTAAGTTGTCATTTGAACATGTCAACCTAAATGCATACTCTGTTATGCGAGTGAACCTAGCAGCTCAAGTCCTTAGTGCATCTGTGGCTGCAGTGTTAAAGGAATTTGGGCCACCAGAGGCAGCAGCAACTGCAAAACTCTGTGAAATGGTTGATGGCTTTTTTGATTGTCTGAATGTTCGGAGTACCACAGAATATCAGAGGAAGCGCAAGCCATTCGTAGCCCCTTACCGATCTGATCAAGATGAAAGGTATTACTGTTTTTTTTAACACCTGAATGGAATAACATGTAGTTGTTTTAGTCATCTCTACTTTGCTTCTCTTTGTGAGAAGTTTCAGCACAACACAAAATTTGTTTAATTTTTTTTTTCCATAATTCTATTGCTGTATACTTATTTTATGAAAATTTTTTCCAGTGAGGTTATCATTATTTCATTGGTATATACTAAAACAGTGGATAGCATAGATTTTTGTGTGTGCCCAGATTGCTATCCATTCTCATTTGTGGCTCGGTAAATGTCCACCACTAGGCACATCCACTTTAGGTGAATAATGTCATTGTTATTGTAAATTTATGAGCAGCAGATGACAATCAATAGTATTAAATGTTACTTCGACAGATACGAGTGTCAGTGTTGACAGCTGAGAGTAGTTGGTGTTACTAACATTTTTGGTTGCCACTTGGTTTCAGGTTTAAGTTTCTACTGAATTTCTTGGAGTATCTGAGGAAATGGAAGGAGAGCACAGAGGAAAGGCCAGGAAACTTCAGCAAGAATGCCAGATCCCGTATGTTCCTTTCCTGGCAGACCTACGAGGGCTTCCAGATAACAGTGTATTCTGCAATTGAGGCAACCAAATTCCTGCTTCATGAAGGGATGGAGTTCGTGCTCACAGAGCGTTTCTGCCAGGACCCAGTGGAGGAATATTTTGGGAACCAGCGCAAACTGGGAAGGCGAAGTGACAATCCAGATATCCGCACATTTGGATATAACAACAACACCATCAGAATCCAGAGGGCAGTGTCATGCCAGAGTGGGAACACTAGGGGTAGAAGGGATGCCTGCCATGCATGGGATCAAGTTACACACACCAAGCTTCCATGCAGAAAAAAATTAAAAATTGCTTGACTGTTTCAATACATGTACATTAAACTGGACATAATGGCATTGCAGACAACTGATTTTAGAGCAAGGGTAGAGTGGGAATGTAAAACTCCAAATTTAAATGCTTTTTTACTTTAAAAAACCACCCAAAAGAGTGATATTTCAAGTGGGCAATAATATTGCTAGAAAAGTGGTTGCTCAGGGATTGTATTTTCTCATAATGAGGTACTTCAAACAAAAAAGTCCTTCCCTTTCCGGGCTTTATTCAGACCAAAGCGAGTATCTGTTGACTTTCCAGTTTACAGCAACCAATACATGTACATATATGCACAGTCTTCAAGTGCTTTAAGTAGGAGTTATATTTGCAACAAATGCCCAACAGAAACAGGAAAAGGAACATTTTTTAGCAGCATATGTTAGTGTTTTTTACATTCTTTTATACAGCAAAAAGTAAAAATTTTAAAACAGTTCTAATGAAGCCTCTCTTGTTGTTGCTCTTCACAGCTCCTGCTTATCTCCTTGCGAAGTGCCTTAGCTTTTGATTGCTTCGTATTAATTTTATGACGCTGGATAATATCCTTGGCAAAAGAAAATGAACGCACCCTGACATACAAGTGTACAATACCATGCAAGATATCTTTGACAATGTGATTGTCTGGAACAAGTTCAGCATCAGAAACTAATAAATAGTAATTTGACAACAATTCACTATCACTCACTGATTTGCCCACAATATCAGCTATGTCAACTCGAGCCAGATTGACTGTAGATGTCATTTGTCGAAAATAATGTTCTGTTCTGATAAAAATCTTTTCTGCTGGCTTGGTTATGGACCAAAGACCTCCACGACTCAAACTTGACACCAGTCTTTGTGAATCAGACCCTGTCTCCAATTTTCCAGCTTTTAAGATTGCCATAGCATGATTGCTTTCAATTGTTGATATTTTTGCATGTTGCTTGTGTAGATTATGTAATACATAACCTCCCACATATTGAAGACCAGCCTTCTCTCTCTCTGATAACAGAGTTTGGGTTGGATGATTGTTGCTACAACAAGCCTTCGTGGACTTGCAGTATACCAGCATACTATCTGCCACCTTAGTTGCTAATAATGTTGCAGCATTGTGGGATAGTCCTGAAAAAAACTTTGTGGACTGCAATGGCACTTGACCATAATATTTTCCATAAAACTTCTCGATGTCCCCATTTTTCAAATATCCATCATAAATTGTTTTCAGCAAGGTAAATTCATCAGTTCCCTCATCAAATTGTTTGAATTGGTACAAATTCAACTCATTCCTAAGGCTTGGTGCAAAAGCTCTGCCTCTGTTTACAGTCTGTATGGCATATTTTACAATTTCAGCAAGACTGCTTGGAGTGAGAGTCGTCCGTTCCTGTCTGTCGTTTTCATTAGGGTTATGCTTAGAAGCTCTGTGTCTCTGGTAGCCTCCTCTTGTCTTGTATTTCTTTCCACATTCACTACAAACGAAATCTGCCGATTGAACCTGTGGTAAAAACGATCACAAAGTGGTCTTGGTCATTACCGCAAAATGCATGGACATTTATGGCCTTCAAAGTTAATTTAAGCTTACGTTTACGTACAGTTTTGTCATCTAGCTCGACAGTATCTTGACGATACAAAATTTCGCGTAGTTAACTTGTCAACGTTGGGTACGATGGTCAAGTTGTTGTCAAAGAGTCGCGTATGGTACACTTAGGGTCACTACGGCCGAAATAGGCCGAAGAATTCACATAGAATATACTTACATCAATCGCTGTAGTTGAAAAGTGTTTCTCGATTGCTTCATCCTCCTCTAACATGTTCAAAATCGTTTCAAAATCGTCTCCAAACACGAAGAGTTCGTTTGTAGCATCCGCCATCTTGTTTGTTGTGTGCACGGTCAGAGTCACGTGACGGGTCAATTCAACCTCGGCTGGGACTCTATTGTTTGGGCCTTTGAAGTTCGCCGGCTTTCCCAACCAGTCCCCTCTACTAACTATGAACAGACGCACCTTTGTAAGAAGAAAACAAAACAATAGTTAAGCTGAATAGTAGTACAAGCATGGGAAGACAATGAAGGGAAGACAATGAAGGGAAGACAATGAAGGGAAGACAATGAAGGCGATTCAATCAAAAGAACAAAACCGTTGAAACCAAATATCTATTTGTCAGAGTTTGACAGCAATTGTAAACTAAAGACAATGTAAATGCGTGACTTTCAAAACTTGCGTGACATTTGCGTTACAGTTGGCCTTTGTGCCATTTGATTCCTTTAAATAGTTTTTCTCTCCCGCTTTTATTAATCGCCTGTTCATGTTCGGAGTGCATACAAAGTTAATTTATAAAGTGTGATTTCAAGCCACCGGCGTATAGGGACTGATATGTAAGTTGTTTTCGCTTTTTTGTTGTTTATCTCGTTTCGAGCAAGCTCTTCGTCTTTATTTGTATATATATTTTGTATTTGCCGTAGCATTTGGTTCATTTATTAGTTCCTTTATTATGTTAGATTCATTTACGCTGTTAAGTCGCCACGTGTTTAATTGAATACAATCTATTATATAAGTCCCTTTTTTAATTCGTTTACAGTTTACGAGATTGATTAAAGTTATGTCCCTGTAATACATCCCCTGGATTTGGTTGGCATTTTTCTCCGGTCACGATTTTCTTGGTATTTCATCGAGCCTTGATGTTCGTTTGCCGCAACAGACAAGATCAACCTTGAGCACACCGTAAGCAAGACAGCAAACCAGTTTCTGTTAAGGCCTGCACCATGCAGTAACATCAACTTCCCGAGTGAATCTTCTTTGGTATTTGCGTTCTAGTTCGGCTTCTTCTTGCCAAAAAGAAAAGCAATTTTTTTTTTGTCGTAGTATACACCAAATGAAAATATGGCGGACCACTCGGGTGGACCGGGCCGAGCTGTGCGAAGTCAAGGCTAGCTAGGCCTTGATGTGTTTTTGTTTTGGCAACGTCCAGTAGAAACTTGCAAACATTGAGCGTATTGATAGTCATTTTCGCGATGCCCACTCATTGCTGTGTCCCTGAATGTAACCGAAAAGGTGTAAAATCGCCAACTGGAGAGAAAATATCTCTTTTTGAATTTCCAAATCAACCTTTACTAGGGAAGAAGAACGAGGAACTGGAAAGAAAGATTGCCGACCTTGACAGCGCAAATAAAAATAAGTATTATCGCTTGCTGCTGACAAGTTCTTTTTAAAAATATTCGTCATGATTCAAAAACGTTGTAGCTTTTCGAACACTAGTCGATACTGAGTGACTTTTGCTTGAATCAATGTTTTTCCCTGACTTTGCGATGTGATTGTTCATCTCGACACGCGTGAAAAAAGACGTTCTTTTTATATCGCCGTACCAGCCATCCGAAGGGTAGTTCGGTTGCGGTGCATTAGCAGCAGCTGAAATGTTGTCTTCACACGCCGTTCGGTGTTCTTTGCGCTTTGTATACACATTGTGAGGATCAGGATCAACTATATATTGGTCTCGGCCAGTTCTGATATACTCTTCGACCCTTTAAAAGCGAAAAGAAAGCTACTTTTAGCTCGTAAAATCTGATTTTTCACATGTATTGGTGTGATATTTTGACAAGTCATAGCGAAACACGAAGCGATCTTGCGCCTTACCTCTTCACTAGCGCTGCCTTTGTTTCAACCCCTTCAATGAATCGCCTCCACATTTGAGCCAAAAACGAAGTTCTTCGCATTTTAATGCCTGGGGCTCTCTTCCGGCGAGAGAAGCTCCCGTGGTATCGTCCTGGGTTAGCGCACGTGCAGCCATTCATGACAACCAAAACAACAGGGAAAAGCCGTGGCTTAACTAGCCTCGACTTCGCGCAACTCGGCCCGGTCCACCCGAGTGGTCCGCCATGTTTGCATTTGGTGTACACCATAGTTTGCAGAGTTGTAAAACTTGAGATACAAAGGTTGTTGGACAAGGAAGTGTAATGCAATCAGAGAAGACTACTCGGGAAAAATAGTCCTAAATGTTTGGAACAATCCGTCCAGCTGGCTCTTTTTACCTCCACTTAAAGTTTCGTGCGTCCACCCGGACTATCCCGGACCAAATCGAGCCAAATTCGTGCACAGATTCCCATGATTTTTGAAAAGTGAGCCCGACGAGTCAACACCAATCTCGAGCCCAAAATCATTTTGGCTCCTTGTCAGCGGTATAGTCGCCAAATAATGACCTCTGGGAGAATGGAATTTTTATCCCAGAAATCGTGGGATTCCGCATTCATTTGCACATGACTGCATTCTTTAGAGATGGCTTCCGGTTGACTCTTGTGCATACTCTAAGTAGAGCACATGGTCCTCTACGCCAGCGGAAGAAAAGAAGAACGTAACTTATTTTCTGTGTACGTGAACTAAAACTCATCGTAATTAATCGAAAGTGTAATTTATAAACTCGAAGAAATTACCGAGATTTTTTTTCAGTGTGCCCTCCAGTGCTACTGGAAGTTTGGAAGTGAATTGTAGGCACAACGACAAACAGTAGAAGAGATTGGTTTAGATTCCAGAGAGGGCCTCCTGCTTATTAGGTGACCGCACTTGAACCGGGATGACTACAAAACAAAGAAAAACAGCGATGATGTAATTTCTTTCCGTATGTATAAAGTATAGAGAGGCCAGGTTAATGGCTTAAAATTCCACAATTTATAGTCTACGATAATCACATATTACGCCATCATTTAATTACCGCAATGTTTTACACTTCCCCAGTGGAGTATGTTGTTTACCTATCAACCAATCAACCACTCTCGGAGGTAATTGTTTAGCGACTATACCGCTGACCGATCATTCATTATGAAAATAGCGTAGCTAGCTGCACTAATAATAAATTCAATAGAAGGTAGAAAACACCGATCAAAATGGAAAGAGGAGAAGAAGTAAAACTCGAGGTAAAGGATAATTTGGTATTAATAATTGAGTTGATAACGTAAATTGGGAACCGTAAAGCGTTTAAAAGCTAACACTCGAAAGGAAAATAATGTTAGTAGATGAGGTCTGCATTTCCCGTTTGCAACTGAGAAAAAGCCGAGATTAGATTGATGCCGTTCTGTTCAGTATTTCATACTATTGATTTTGACATATAATTATACTAAATATCGAAATTAGACGTACACATTTTCCCCTTAGCTTACGACATTGCTCCCAAGTCCTTGCGGGCAACTGTTATTGATTATTATGGCCGATTTTCATAAGAAAAATCCTATAGCTGTTAATTTTTTCTCAAATGAACATATCCGACAAGTTACAAGACAGTGAAATTAACCTGCTGAGGCACAATAGAAAACTTCACGAGAGTAGGTATGGTTAAGGGCTATCTAATGGTTGTATTTGCTGCTGTTAGTCTCTTTGGTTTGGTAGGTTCATACCTCCCAGCCGGCCTATATTTCCTACAACTCCTGTTTAGTTTTTAGGATCCTACAAAACTCCTATATTCGAGTAAAAATTCCAATATTTCCTATAAATAGTGCTTCAGCGTTTAAATAACAAATACTGCGAGGAATTCCAATTGAGTTATTTTAAGGGTTCATGTACGCCTTGGAAAGTTAGTGTTGCCAAATTGAATTCTTTATGGCATGCTTTAAAATAGTAACAATGCGGAATAAAAATAATGCAACACTTTTAATTGGTATATCACGGAATGTTCCACTCGTCTCTTGCATTTCTTGGTATGTACACTTGCCTACTCCAGTCCTGGGTGTAAGCTGGCATCTGTTTAAGAGTACAGTATAACACCAAGTGTGAAACGAAGTCAACAAGTGTGGTGTACGGTGTAAAATTGGGCCTAATACAGGCATCGATGCGACTAAATTTTTAGCTTTGGCGACCAAATCTTGGAAATTAGTCGCCAAATTGGCGACTAGGGTGCTTCACTACCACCTATTTAATGAGATAGTGAAGGTAAAGATTTCTAAAAATCAGGGAATGGCCAATTTCTTCGTTAAGTTTGTTTTAAATATCCACGTCCACAAGACGCCATTTTGGATTCAGGTACCAATTCACCCGATATAAGACCCATTCTAGTGTCCTTTTAGATAAAGGTAGCAAAAGCCTTTTTTTTTCCAGCCTCTAAAAAAGGAAGCATGTTGCGGCTGGAATGTTTTTTCTTCTTGCCTATAAAATTAAGATAGTTGGATATTTGCATAGGTTTCAATTTTTGCTTTTTTGGTATTTGAGCAGTTTCATTAAAACAAATAATCAATAACAAAGCGTTTTCAGAACATCCCTGAAAGGTTCTGGTGGAAAAGGTTCTTCTATAATTTTCTCTTTTCAATTTAAAAGCCCAACACATTTATCCTCAGCTGGCATCTCTTTTTGTCTCATTTAACTAACGTCCTCTTATATCATTAAAAGGGTCAGGAACATGATGCACGGCAAGGACAAGGACAAGACTTTAATGGAGACGCAACAGGGACTCTTAAAGAGGTAATTAGGGATTATTGATGAAAAAGTTTTCAATAAAAGGATCTTATAGACAGATTATCTTTGTTGATGCAAGTAGCCTCATCAAGGTGGTTGACAAAATGGTCCTAACAGAGAAAGTGGGCCTCTGTGTTCCATACCATTAAGCCTTGTTACTTTGATACGCGTATTTTTTTTTGGCAAACCCTTCTACATAAAATATTAACAGGTGAACTAAGTTTTCTCAAAAAAGATTTAATTTAATCTGGATGTCACACATTTGAAGGTCTACATGTACTCTTCTTTTTTGGAATATGTATTATCTTCCTCTCACTTCTCGAAATATCTTGAGATTTGCTCAGCAATGATAGGATCCTTTAGATGGATTATCTTTGTAAGGTCAGGCAGCCACATCAAAATGGCTGACAAATTGGTCTTGGTAGATAAAGAGGAAGTCAACTACACTGCAAAGACTTCTTCATACAGCTCAGTGAGATTCATCTGAAATACATGTATATTGGTTTTCACTAAGTCCTTATGTTTCCAAGAGATTACCTCTTATTACTTCTATACATCTCTGCTCATATCACTCACATATTTTTTTTTAACATCCTTTTTATACCATTAAAAGGGTCAGGAACAAAACACAGGGAAAGGAAAAACACGAGACATTAGTATGAAGACAGTGGAAAATATTGTTAAGGTAAGGTAGAAGGATTCCTGATAAAAAGGTTTATTAATAAAATTCAGATTCTGACCTCTTTACATAAATGAGAATTTTTAGTTTACAACTTACCCTACCAAATTAAAAGTTTATCATACAATTCTTTTATATGGCCCTCAAAGCCTCAAAGTGAAGGACAATGCAAGTAATAGACCTTTTTACCTTCATACATCAGAGATTGGTCACATAGCCCCAAATAAGTAAACAAAATTTACTACAAATCGTGTACTGGTCCACTACTGCTGCATTCTTTTATAACTTCTGCAATACTTGGTGGTTGTCTTTTCATAAATTCTTTACGGATCCTAAGCCTTAGAAGTTTAAAAAGATCCATGCTATGATTCCTCAACACTAGTAACACAAATTTGTATTTTAAATTTTGTATTGGAAAACCCATAAATTAGCCCTATGGTGAGGCAGTTTGTCCATGTTAAATAGAGTTATCTTAGGCTTACCCTATATATATGGGTAAATTCAGAAAAAAAATCAAAAAGTCTCATCTCAGCTGTTAAATTTGATGGTTGTTCTTCAATTTCTTTTAAAACGTATATGTACTTTCAGGATGAAAAGAAACCCAAGGACTTACAAAGAATAACATCTAGTATACCAGAGTGTGCTTTAAACATTTCAAAGACAATAATGTTAAGTTTGTAGACGGTGGAACTAGGAAATTGAAAGATGGGCCTGTCCATAACTGTTTTTATGGTCAAAACCATGCTATCTTTAAAAAAAAATAGTGTTTCTTTTCCAGCAGGGGAACTGTATGGTGTTTTGGCATTAACCTTCCACTGCTCTGTTTATTGTTTATTTCTATTCATTTTTCAACGACCTGGAGTCACTAGATCACCAAAAATTTCTATCTGTGACTTACACTCTTTTCATTTTGTATTCATTTCATGTATTTTTTTTTTCAATCTTTTACGATCATGTGTTCACAAGGTTGTTTTTCCAGTTCACGGTTGTCTACATTCTCAACAAAAAAACTTAAAGGGTAACTGACGCCAAATTTTTCCCCTTTTTTTGTCCCAATACATTCCTCTTAGGTTAAAGAATCCTAAATGAGCAAATAAACGATATATTGGTCTGATTCAGGTCACGGGACGTGACATGTCACACGTGTGTAAGGCAGTGAAAAGCGTCATGTCAAGACCTGAAAGTACCAACTTCGTCCTTGCTTTCCAGCTGCTGCCGAAATCTACGAGCGGAATAAAAATAAGATTTGTTCCATTCTGATATAGAGCACCATTTAGAGAATATGAAATACGAAGTGAGAAATAAAATAATGAAGGTTTAATAATCGAAAGACGACGGATCGCATGTCTGTATTGAGTGCCACAGGTAATTTGCACGCCATTCGAAACAGCTGTAAAAAATATATTCTCATCATTTTTTCTTCTCAACCATTATCGAGTCCTATACTTAAAGAAATGTTTCTTAGTCCATGCCGAAAAGTATTTGACTTTAGATTCTGTCCGGTGTATATCACCGTGAACTCAGGCCCATCGGTTCTGGAGTAAGCGTGACTAAGCGCATAGTGTTGTCGCGTATTATGGGAATTCGTCATCTGGAATG